TTTTTGGCTCTGTTCTCAGCCTCTTCAATTCTTAGTTCCATATCTTCCATTGCTTTTCTGCGTCAGGCAACGCCGAAAGTATCTTCAATGTCGTATGTCTGACTAACCATAGGCATACGCTTGAACTCTGGCTTACTTTTAAACATACTCATTATTAATAATATTTAGATTAAAAATATTATTAGTAATTAAAACATTTTAGATTTAAAACTGTCTATTTTTTGTATATGTTCCTCTCTTTTTGCCCTTCGTATTTCATTATAAGATGCCTCTAATAATTCTCTTGCTGTTAGTTGTCGCTCGGTAGAGCCTCGCGAGGCTTCGCGACTTGGCTGTTCTTCCATTCTAACGGGCTTTGCTTTTGTTTTAACTTCAATAGGCTCGGAATAATTAGTTGTTTCATTTTTTACATTATTAGCGCTTTTATCATTTTTTTTTATTTTCATATTTCTTCTCCATCTCTTCTTCAATTTCTTTTCTTAATTTTTGTTCAACCTTTGACCCATAACTTGCTTTCTGCTTATTTACTGGTAATGTTTCAGTTGGCTGTCCCTTACAAAAATGTGGGTGAGTATTCTTCAACGATTTAGGCAACATTTTTTTTTATTACAGGCTTGACATTCAAGCAGCTCAACTACTTTAACTGTTCGCGCTAATTTCTTTGGAGTTGCTTTAGGTTTTGGTTTTGCCTCCTCTTTTACTTCAGTTTTAACTTCTTCTTGTTTAGTTGCTTCTTCGTTTAGTTTAGTTTAGTTTGTGTTTCTTCGTTGCTGTCGCGAAGCTCGCGAGCCTTTGGCGAGGCGTCTTCAATAACTTCATTATTATCTATTTCAGCTACTGCTTCATTTTTAAGCTCTTCAACTGTTTCAGCACTCATTATTAATATAGTCTATATTTTTCTAATTAGATATTTATTAATCCCTGAAAAAAGTTAAACTGAAGGAGCATTCAACATTGTTAAAATTAACTGTTTTGTTAAACTCGTCTGAAAAGCGGAAATTACACCTTCGTAGAATTTTACCGCTACAATCAACATAACCAAAATCGTTTATTTGGTTGTCTTGTATAATACCTAAATAGGGGACTGATACATTTATTTTCTTTACTATTGATGAAT